CCTTCCTGGATCACACAGCAGAGAATTACCATGTGCCAGGCTCTGTGTTGGGCACTGCGGGAACAGCGTTGATGAAGTTTCAGACACAGTCCATGGCAGCCTTGCAGCGGTGACAGATGGGGATCGCCAGCCAGGGCAGAACGACACATGTGCAACAGAAGGACCCTGCCCCCTAGCCCGAGGGGCGGGAGCAGTGGAGGGGAGGGGCCAGAGGAAAACACAGTACTTTAACTGACCTCCAAAGATGGTGGACTTCCAGCCTGCTGGCCAGCGTGAGAAAAGTACATACAAAGGCCCTGAAGCAGGAGGCCTAGCATATCTGGGGACCTGAACAGAGAGCTGTGTGGAGGAGGGGAGGGGAGAGATGACCAGGCCAGGCCTGGCTGGTAGGCCAGAGTCAAGGGTCAGGCCTCGATCAAAGAGCAAATGGAAAGCTAAGGAAGGGGTGAAAAGAGAGGCCCGGGAGAGGGGCGTTGCACCCCAAAGAGCTCTCTCTGGTGGCAGCATCGATGTGGAAAGATTGTTTGGGTAGCCACCTCGACAGGTAGCCAGCATGGGTGACAGCAGAGAAGAGGAGGCGAGTGGTGGCTGGTGTTGGGACCAGTAGACTGAGTCAGGAGATATTAAAGCAGCAAAAGCTGGTATGGACTGGGTGTGGGGGAAGGAGAGGGGGTGTCAAGGAGAAATTCCAAGTGTCTCTGACCCTAAACTAGCCACTGCCTCGCCAAACTCAGTGACAAACCAGAGGTCACCGGAAGCTCGTCTGAGTCAGCCAAACGCATCGAGTAAGTCCCGTTCTAATAGCAAGCCCCAAAAACTGCTTTAGGGAGGATGGCTGTAACGTGGGGTGTAGCAACGATCCCTCCCTACACCTTCCAGATGAGCAGTGGATGTTTCAGGGCTCCTGAGACTCAAGCACCCCCAAAAAACATTGAGTGGACCCACTGGTTTCAAGCTCCCCTATGGGGGACTAGGGGACACGGGTACCTGAGCTGGCAGGCTCCTCGAACTTCTTCTCCTGGAGCTGCCTGACGCAACGCTTCAGCTCGTTCTTGAGGTCTGTGGTGCCCTGGGCGACGCCCTTCATCAGCTCGTGATTCAGCTCCACCTTGGGAACGTAGACTGGCTTTGTCACCACTCCCTGCAGTTTTGACGCTTTCTGGAACAAGCCGGAGGGTTAGCGCAGGCAGCTGCAGTGAACCAGGGTCTGGGCTCAGTCCCCAAGAACCCAGCAAGCAGGGCTTCCCCGTATCCATGGCACACTCCAGCTGGTCTCAGAGATCACAGGGGGTTAAAGTGACACTTTAAGACACAGAAATCTAGAAGGGACTTCACAAGTCATTCATCTTGCAGATGTGGAAACAGGTTGAGACATGGCAGGGGGCTTGCCGGGAACTCTGTCAGTTAGTGGCACAGACATGGTTGGGACAGAGGTCTCCCAAGCCCTAGGACAAGCCTCTTCACTGGCTGGAAAAGAACAGGAGACCCAGGAGCATTTCCATCCTAGAGGGACAGCTCTCGTCATATGTTCTGAGTAGACAGGGACACCACCAGGCATGCAGGATTGAGTGCAAGCATGTCCCGTCAGAGAAGGTCTAACTGAAGTTCCAAGTTTTAAGACAAAAGTGGCTCATATGGGATCAAGAGGCCTGGAGGTGGACTCAGAATCCTTCTCAGACAACTCACGGCAGCTGCTCTACAAATGGGAATGAACACTTGGGATGAAACCCCTAGGCCTGGGGAGACAACCCAGGGGCCCAACTTCTCTCTGGGGACCTAGAGAGAAGGTCCTCAGTATCTTCTGTGTGCTCTCCATGAGCTGAACCAGGAACCTGGGCCTCATGGCAGGTCACCTACCAACGGGGCTCACTAGACACCCTCTACACACCACGTACTCTGCCACATGCTGGACAGGAAAGGCGGAGGGAGGGCAGTAATGAGGTGGGCTGATAGCCAAAACGGACACGAAACAAGCTCATCTGAAGCAGTATCACGCCCCTGAACGCCAAGTGTGGCAAGGGAAGACAGGGGAAACGAGCTGGCCCCAGAAGGGCATGAATCTCCAAGCAGAGAAAGTCAGGCACGGCATTCCCACCCGATGCCACTGTGTCTGAAAAAGCTGAGTGTCCCACTGTGGTTAGAGCACAAGGCCAGGACTGGCAGGCGTGTGGCTGCTGGCAAAGTTGGGGCCAGGTCACCAAGGGCACTGTGGGCCACACTAAGAAACATGAAGCCAGAAAGGGACAGGGAGTCTGTGCTTCAGGAAGACACTTCTTGGGGCTGTGCTGCGGAAGGATGGAAGGAAGAGGGTAGGCCTGTGAGGGAGGCAACACGCCAAGATGGCTCCTGTCACAGTCTGGAGAGTGGTTTCTCCCACACAGGTTCATGTGTTTAAATTTGGATGTCCCCTAAAAGCTCATGGACTGGAACTCCACTGTACTGGCTGCACCGTGAAGTGTTAAACTTCACTCCCTCAGGTTATCCGGGCGAGGAAGTGTGACAGAGCCAGTCCCTTCCTGTATACACACCAGAACACAATAGTGCTCCCAGCCCTGCCCTCATGACTGCCGTGGGTGTGACAGAGGGCGGGGCCTCCATGACTGTTCTGTGTGTGTAAGAAAGGCAAATGAGGCAGGCGGAGGCTCGTGGGTACAGACCCTGCTAAACGTTCTGCCTTTCGCCATTTCGTGATGCCTTTGGACTTTCCGATGAGCAGAATTGTGAGTTTTGTGAATCCATCTCTATTTTCTTTATAAATCACCTAGTTGCAGTCATTTCTGTTAGCAAGGCAGTAACAGACTGAGATAGCCCCCAAGGTGTTTACCCTATGGAATCCGGTCCCTTTCAGCAAAGGGGGGACAGTGAATGCGATAGCTATGGCTCTAGGGTCAGGTTACATTAGGCGGCAAAGGGGAGGGAATACTGCACATGCCATCAAGACCCCAGATGAGTTGATTTCCAGCTAACCCAAAGGATTATTCTGGGTAGGCCTGACTTCATCTGATAAAAGCTCTTAAAGAGGCTTTCTTGGAGGGAGTTCTCCTGCCAGCACTGCAGAAGTAGGGTGCCAAGTTGAAACTGGGCCTCAGTGACAGCCACCAGCAAAAAACAAAAGGGGGAACCTCAGATCTACAACCCCAAGGAACCAAATTCTGCCACCAAATCATCTTCGCTTGGAAGATAGCCCTGAGTTCCAAAAGGAACACAGTCCAGCCAACCCAAGACTGCAGTCTTGGGAGACTCTCCGCAAACAAAATCCAGGAAGCCATGTCCAGACTCCTGAGCCAGGGAAACCCTAAAACAATAAACGCATGTTCTTCTAAGCCCCTAGGTTTCTGGCAAGTTGGTGCACAGCATACAAAACATACCACATGTCTCAGGAATGCATCCAATGTCTTCCTGCAGTCCCAGTGCCTTGGGGGCCCTACTGTACCTGTAATCCACACTGTGTTGCTAGCAGAGGGACTATTCAAGAGGAACCAGCAGATGGCATAATGGTTACCTCACTGGACTTCCACAGAGTCAACTGCAGTTCATTCAAGTCCTGGACCCAGAGGCTTAAAACTCATGCCAGGCACATGTGCGTGCATGCCCAAGATCCCAAAAGGAAAATGGAAGAGAAGAGATTGTGGCATGGCCATCCTCCCTGGGGAGTGATTTCTCACTTTCTGCCTCTCTGTCTCTCTCTGTCTTTCTGGCAAGCGCAAGCACCCTATACCAAAAATTTCTCTTAAAAAAAAAATTATTCAAGAATATCCTCAATGAGACCCACCTCTAGAAATTCAAACTCGTCCCCCTTCGACAGGCTGAGTTCAATATCGTCCTTCAAGCTCTGGATCTCACTCTTCTTCTTCAGGAGAACCTGGTAAATGGTGTCCAACTTGGTGTTGACCCTCTTCTCCTCTTCTTTGATCTTCCGTGTTGCACTGGCCTCTGAGGCATCAATAACAGCCTTCATTTCCAGGTATTCCTGTCTCAGCTGCTCCATCTTCTTGTTTGCAGTCTCCTAAGAGGATAAGACAAGCAGGCTCCGGTCAGCTTGACACAAATGCTGAAGCTGCAGTGCTGAGTGCTGGTGAGATGGGCAGCACCAGGAACTCACTGATACGGATACTCCTCAACTTATGACGGTTCAACTTATGATTCTGTGACTTTAAGATGGTGCATCAGTGGGCCAGCAGGTGGTGTGGTGGTTAAGGATGCCAGACTCCCACATGGCCGACCACAGTTCGAGTCCTGGACCTGGTGGCTTGCTTTGTCACTTTCTCTCTCTCTCTCACTCTTACTCTACCCCTCTGTGGTCAAGATTTAAAATAAAATAAATAAATAAAGTTAAATAAAAAATAATTCTTTGAAAAAAAAAAAAAGGTGGTCCATCAGCAATACACATTCAGTAGAAAGCCTACATCAAGTACCTATTTGACTATTCCATTTTTCACTTCCAGTATAGTATTCAATAAATTCCATGAGATATTCAACCCTTTAGTATAAAACAAGCTTTATGTTTGATGATTTTGCCCAATCATAGGGTAACATAAGTGTTCTGAGCACACTTAAGATAGGCGAGGCTAAGATGTGATATTCAGTAGGTTAGGTGTACATAATGCATCTTCAACTTACGGTATCTTTTTTTTTTTTTTTGGAGAGGTTTTTGCTATAGGGTGTGTGCGCTCGCCAGAAAGACAGAGAGACAGAAAGCGAGAAATCACCCCCCAGGGGGAATGGCCACGCCACAATCCCTTCTCCTCCATTCTCCTCTTGGGATCTTGGACATGCACACACACATGCCCAGCATGAGTTTAAGCCACTGGGTCCAGGACTTGAACCGCGGTCGACTAAATGGGAGTTCAGCGACATAGCCATTACACTAACTGCTGGTCCCGACTTATGATATCTTTGACTTACGATGGATTTGTTAGAACACAACTCTAACATAAATCAAGGAACATCTGTAGTTTGTGGGAGTACACTTTTGGAGAGCAATTTGGCAATATCTAGGAAATTTGGAAGTGCTCATGCCCTGTGATTTGGAAACTCCACTATTAGGAATATACTCCAGAAATTTTATTGGATGTTTCCTCCAGAGATATGTACAAGAATGTTCATGAGGCAGCATTGTTTGAAATAGTAAAAAACCTGGAAACAACTGGAACGCCTATCCATAGGAAACCTGAACCAGAGACTGAGAATCATAGGATGAAATAGTAAACCGTTATGAAAATCAATGAACTGGAATTATACCTGGTTATATCTCCATGAGAGAAAAACAACTTGTACAGTAGAAGATAATACAGTATGATTTTCCTACGGAATGCTTAGAAACAAACAGACTGATAAGGCCAGAAGATGGCATAGTAATTTTTTAAAAGGATTTTTTTTCCCAACCACCCCGTTTTTTAAAATATCTTTTCTTTTTTGGGGACCAGCGGTTAGTGTAATGGCTATGTCGCTGGACTCCCATGTAGTCGACCGTAGTTTGAGTCCCGGCCCCAGTGGCTTAAATTCACGCCAGGCGCATGTGCATGTGTGCCCAAGATCCCGAGAGGAGAATGGAGGGGAAGGGATTGCAGCGTGGCCATCCCCCCTCGGGGGGGGGGGCGGTTCTTGCTTTCTATCTCTCTGTCTCTGTCTTTATGACAAGCACACGTGCCCTATAGCAAAAACCTCTCAAAAAAAAAAAAAACTTTTCTTTTTTTAAAGAATTATTTATTTATTTTAATATGATCAAAAAAGGGACTGAGAGATAGAGTGGGAAAGTGAGAAAGGAAGCCACCAGGTCTGGGATTCGAACTGCCACTGTTCATGTGGGAGTCCAATGCCCTTACCCACTACTCCACCTGCCAGTCCCAGGTGGCAAAGTGATTAAAGAAGGCACTGGACTCTCATGTGGTCAACCGCGGTTTGAGTCCTGGGCTTTAGCGGCTTGAAACTCACGCCAGGTGCATATGCCTATGTGCCCAAAATCCTGAGAGGAGAATAGAGGAGAAAGGACTGCAGCATGGCCATGCCCCCAGGAAGTGGTTTCTCGCTTGCTCTCTCTCTGTCTCTCCAGTGAGTACATGTGCCCTACAGCAAAAACTCTCAAAAAGAGCAAACAAACAAACAAACAGAATGGTAGTACACATTGCTAAGGAATGCATGCATATATATTAAAAGAATAAAGAAATACATGGAAATAAATGTATAAATTCAGAATAGAAGTGACCCCTGAAAGAGAGAAGGCGGATATAATGAGAAAGAGAGGGAGGGGCTGCACCAGTGGTATTATATTTCTTGAGCTAAAAGCTGTTCATGTGTAATTTTCCTAAAGGGCATGAAATAGCTCTAGAAAATTTCTACAGAATGTCATCCCCTAGCGCTGTACAGTAGCTACATATGACTACATGTAGCTCTTGAAATGTGGGTAGTTTATAATGAAGTGTTACAAGGCTAAAACAGGGCTCTCCAATGTTCAGGCCATGGAGCAGTAACTGGTTCACAGCCTGTTGGGGGCTAGGCCATGACTAGAGCCACAGGGCCAGGTCACAAGGCCATGCAGCAGGGGGGTGAGAGGCAGGCGAGTAAGCAAGACTTCATCTGTGTTTGCAGCCACTCCCCATGGCTTGCATTGTCCCTGGGCTGCACCTCCTGCCTGATGACGGGTGGTATTGGATTCTCATGAGAGCGTGAACCCTATTGTTGTGTGATTGTTTCATTGCATACTGCAGCGTGGTGGAGGTGGAAATTGGATGCATAGTGGATGTGGTACACTTGGGTCATTCCAGGATAAACCTTCCCCAAACCTTGCCACGAGGCCAAGCCCTGGTGCTGAGAAGATTGGGAACCACTGGTCTAAAAGACATATTGGCAGGACCAGGAGATGGCATAATGGCTATGTCAGCGAACTCCCATGTAGTCAACCATGGTTTGAGTCCTGGACCTCGTGACTTCAAACTCACACCGGGCATATGTGAGTGCATGCCCAAAATCCCGAGAAAAGAATGGAGAAAGGATTGCAGCATGGCCATCCTCTCTTGGGGGTGACTTCTCCCTTTCTGTCTCTCTGTCTTTCTGGTGAGTCACATGCCCTATAGCAAAAATCTCTTAAAACAAAAAAAGCAGGAATGTACAATGGTTCATTAAACCATTTTTACTTATGACATGTTCAAATGGTAATATTTTAGATATATTGAATTAAATAATATTATTCAAATTAATTTCATGTATTCTAATTGATTTAAAATTCCACCTGAGGCTCCCATTACATTGGGCAGCACTGCCTAAGCAGCTGCAGTTTTATCTGACACGCTTGGTAATCCCCATGAGTATGAAATTAAGCATGACAAACAGAAACACACAGGAGTGGATTGCAACTGATTCTCACGTAGCTCTTTACTCTGCCACGGCATGTGACTACCAGTGCCCCTCAATGTCTGTTCTCCTTTCTGTTTCAGTAAGAGAACACTCATCTGTAGTTTCATCTGGACATATGGCTGCCCTAACAGTGTTTTCCAGCCTCTCCTGCAGCTAGACACGGTGATGTGACGAAGCCCCTTCTCATGAGGCAGGACTGGATGAGAGATACGCAACACCATGTCACTTACTTCAAAGGAAATTCCTTGTTGTCATTTACTTTCTCCCCAACCACCTCCTCACAGCCCAGAGCAAAGATGTGAACTTCTATCTTATTTATGCTTCTACTTTGGGGGATATCTTTTTTTTTAATGGCAGTTTAGCCTGCCCTCTAACCAATACAGGTACTTTTACATGCATCCCTTCATTTAAGCCTCACAACCACCTTCAAAAAGGAGCTGCTGTGAGTCCATCGTGCAGACGGTGAAACTAGGGTTCGGCGTTCTGCCCACATGATCAAAGCCACATGGGCTGGTACGTGACAGACAAGTATTCTAACACGAATCTCGTCTAATTAAACCATAGTTACTGCCATAAAACGAGGCTGCAGCTCTAGAACTGCACATTTAAAAATCAAATCTCCGGGACAGCCAGGTGGCATAAAGATTAAGGTGGCTGGACCCCACATGGCCAACTGCATGGTTCGAGTCCTGGACTCAGCAGCTTGAAAAACACACCAGGTGTGTAAGCATGTGTGCTCAAAATCCCCAGAGGAGAATGGAGGAGGAGAAATTGTGGTGTGGTCCTCCCTTTGGGTGGTGGTTTCTCATTTTCTCTCTCTCTCTCTGGTGAGTGCATACGCCCACAGCCAAACAAACAACCAAAACAAATCTTTTTAAGTTAAAGGCAATTTAACCTTATAACATTTTCGAAAAATAGGAGGGAACAAAATCATCCCTAACTTACCACTCCAACACTTCCTTCTGTAATACTTTCTTCCAGTCTTTTTTCCTATTTGTTCTGCCATTAGTTGAATACTAGTCCCTCCAAACATAAGTCTACATTACAGAATCTGTGAATGTGACCTTACTTAGAAAAGGGACTTTTGCAGATGTAATTAACTGAAAGACCTTGAGATGAGATCACCCTAGATTACCGAGGTGGACCCTAAATCCGATGGGGAACGTCTTTATCAGAGAGGAGAGAGGAGAAGGCAGAGGAAAGGAGGAAGCTACGTGAAGACAGAGGCAGAGACTGGAGTGGCGCCGACACAGCCAAGAAACACCTGAGCCACCAGAAGCTGGAAAAGAAAGGAAGGGTTCTCCGTAGAGATTTTAGAGGGAGGGTGACCCTACCAACTCCTTGAATTTGGACTTCCAGCCTCCAAACCTGTGTACAAATATGTTGTAAGCCATGAAGTTTGTAATTATTTGTTACAGTAACCCTAGGAAACAAATACACTTCCTTTTTATAAACAGATGTAATCCTAGTGGGTATGTAATTTTGCTTCTTGTTTTTCTTCTACTTTATATCATCATTTTTCTCTGTTACTACTTTTGACTTTATTATTATTTTTTTTTTTTTTGGAGAGATTTTCGCTATAGGGCACGTGCGCTCGCCAGACAGACAGAGAGAGACAGAGAGACAGAAAGCGAGAAATCACCTCCCAGGGGGGATGGTCACGCCGCAATCCCTTCTCCTCCATTCTCCTCTTGGGATCTTGGGCACGCACGCACACGCGCCCGGCGTGAGTTTTAAGCCACCGGGTCCGGGACACGAACCACGGTCAACTACATGGGAATCCAGCGACATAGCTATTATGCTAACTGCTGGTTCCCTGACCTTACGTTTTTTTTTTTCCTTTTTCTTTTGAAGGTTTTTGCCATAGGGCACATGTGTTCACTGGAGAGGAGAGAAACAGAGACAGTGAAAGAGAAAGTGATAAATCATTCCCACCCCCATGGGGGGGATGACCATGTCGCAATCCCATCTCCTCCATTCTCTTCCTGGGATTTTGGGCACATACACACGTGCCCGGCATGAGTCTTAAGCCACTGGATCTGGGACTCAAAACACAGTGGGGCCATGTGGGAGTCCAGTGTCTTAGCCACTATACCACCTGCCAGCCCTCAACCCTAATTTTTTTTTTTTTGGAGAGGTTTTTGCTATAGGGCGCGTGCGCTCACCAGACAGACAGAGACAGAGAGACAGAAAGCAAGAAATCACCCCCCGGGGGGATGGCAACGCCGCAATCCCTTCTCCTCCATTCTCCTCTCAGGATCTTGGGCACACACGCACACACGCCCTGCATGAATTTTAAGCCACCGGGTCCAGGATGCGAACCGCGGTCGACTACGTGGGAGTCCAGTGACATAGCCATTACATTAACTGCTGGTTCCCGTCAACGTTTAACTCTGACACTTGTGAGTGACCTGATACCAACTTTGTCAAGGTAAGATGGTGCCTGTCCTGCCTGGAGCCTGAGGGAGGCCCCCTGAGCTAGCTGGGGTGGAGGACCCTGCCACTTACCCGCATGTCTTGCTGCCTCGCTCTCACATCCTCCAGTGCTCTCGACGCCCCGTTGATGTGACTGTACATGACGGTTAGTTTATGCCTCAGCTTGGTCTGCAGAAAAAAGGAACAAGGGTGAGCGTGCACCTCTTCAGCCAGTCCCCACCAGATGCAGCACCAGCAGCCATGCCCTGAATGCATCTCCCAGTACAGCTTTTTGAAGCATTCTCATATTTACTGCCTGCCTTCTTCCTTTTAAGGGGGTAGTACAGGATTTGGAATTGGACAGATCAGGATTCAAGACCCCATTCCCAGCCATGTAACTGTCTTTCACCTCAGTTTCCTGGGTCACAAAATAAAAACAGCTGTTTTCACCTCACAGGGCTATTAGGCCTCATGGAGACAACGTACGTGTGGGATATCTTAGCACTTAGGAGCTTCTTCACCACTGCCCACTTTGCAGCTGATGGAAGCCAGGCAAGGGGGAGGGCAAGGTGGCCCAGCTCACACTGAGAATAAGCCAGGACTGCCGTTTCGGTAATGGCAGATGTGTCGTTCAAACCAGCCTTCCCACTGCAAACAACCAGAAGAGCAGACAAGTACCGGGCGCCGGGGAGAGGACCTACGAAAAGGCACTGAAGGATTAAGAAGGCACAAGGGCCATGAAAGTTGGAGCGCTGGAACCCACATGGCCTAGTGCTTGATCTGAGTCCCAGACCAGCAGTCCAGAAAATCATGCCAGGCACATGTGTATGCATGCCCAAAATCCTGAGAGGAGAGGGAAGAGAAGGGATTGCTGCAGGTCCACCTGCCCAGGAGGGTGATTTTTCACATTCCCTCTCTCTGTCTCACTCTGTGTCTCTGTCTCTCTCTCTGGAAAACACACAAGCCTTATAGGGGGTGGGTGCAGAGGGGGATTACAGAGCCAAGTTCCAGGAGAAGGAGACAAAGAGATAAATCTAACATCTGGTATTGTTCTCCCCAAAGGCATCCGCCAATCCTAAAAGCCTCTGTCAGCCTCAGAGAGACAGGGGCAAAGACCGGAGTCCAAGGCTCCCCTGCCCCCCTGCAGGCTGCGGCTACCTGGGGCTAGGAACAAGGAATCCACAGGGACTGAAGCCCAGCTGCAAATCGGCTCAATCCCTGAAACTGAATTAAGCTCATTTGGAACTGCCAGCCTCCTAGCCACTTCCAGAAACACAGCAATGGTAACCCCATGCTCTTATTATTTCTACAAATGTTCATAATCCATATCTGGGTCCTCCACCTCCCTGCTCAGATGAAATACTGGGGTACATACATGAGAAGCAAAACAGCCACCACCGCCACCACCCTAACAGCTAGTATTTAATATGTACTTACTACTTACTATGCTGGCCCTGTTCTAGAGGTTGACATCTATGCCCTCATTCGAAACCAAAAACAGCACTGTGAGGTAGGGACTACCCAACCTTTACAGAGGAGGACACCGAGGCGCAGAGCAGCAAAGCGGTGTGCTCAAGGTCACATTACTCTTCACTGGCACCGCTGAAACCCTATTAAAATTACAGACATGTGCCCACACTGAGTATGCTGGAAGTTTCTAGAAAAAAAGCCTCTCTGTCTCTGCCTTTCACTTTCCTGTGTCTCCCACTCAAACCAAGATATTCAGGGCTGAACCTGCCCCTGGAGCTGGATTTGAACCACCCAGTGACAGTCACACGTAAGGACTGGAACGGAGGACAAAGCCACACCATGTCAGCCCAGAAAGCCCAAGACGTTTCCCACTCCACTCTGTGATACTGCCCTTCAACCTGCCTCTAACCGTGGCCAACACATGGTGTGAGCCAAAGGGCAAAGGTCAGGCCCAGGCAGATCCGGCCTCATAGGCCAGACCAAAAAGAGCTCAGAACGCCCAGGACTGCCAACCGCGTCATTCCTGAGAGTCGCTCTCTGCTCTGCACTCTGTTCTGTGAGGACCTTGAAGACTTTATCCACATTAATCTAACACACAGGCTAGTCCCTGTGTGTGACTCCAGAGCACAAGAAAGTAGCACGAGGATTTGGGGGTTGCAGCAACCCCTAGTCAAGGCAGTTTGTGGAAGTTCTGAGATCGCATCACAGACTGGGGATGTCGGTCCTCTCTGCAGAAAGCCCCAGAGTCCTGAGCCTGTCCCACCCCATTGGCTGAGACAAGCCAACTGCCCGAGCCCTGGGGACATAGCCCATCTGGGCCTGGCTCTGCCAATACGGAGCAGTAGCAGGAACTCAGGAAGGCAACCTGTTACAGGACTCGGCAAACCAGGACGACGGAGCCAGCGGAAATGCAGAGGAGGGACATTAGGAAGATTAAAAAGCTGAGCTTCTCCAGCACCCAGAGCTGGGCACAGGCTCCATGCTGTGCTCCCGGCCAGGCCAAGGAGGCCCTTCCTGCCTGTGAGCTGCTCCATGGATAAGAACATCTAACCTTCCTGCAGGCGTCAGGCTGCCCCACCCTCGCTGGCAGGCCCTTGCACTAGTGGCAAAAACATCCAGGGGGGGGCTGCCCCAGGGCTATCGGCCCCCAGTGTGCTCTTTTCAATCCCAGCCTGAGTACCAGAAATGGAAGCCTTCACAGTAAAACGCTGTTTATAGATTGCCTCCTTTAATGCTTCAATGACGGAGACAGGGCCTACCTGAGACAGGGCCTACCGTTATCTCCTTTCAGCATTTCCCAGCTGGGAGCAAGGTCTTCAAACCCAGATCTCTGCACCCACTCTGGTGAAACCCACGTAAACCAGCCAGATTACCTGGCTATGAAGCACTAGCCAGACAGTGGCCTTCTGACCAACCACCCTTGGAGGTACGGAGAGAATGCCATTAATCCTGTCTGGCAGGGAGCAGAACTCAGAGATCTGTAGTGACTTGCCCCAAACTGAACAGCTATTTGGAACAGAGCTGGGCCCAGCTCCAAATGGTAGGCAGGTCCTTTTCTGCAACAGGTGGCAATTCAGGGTGTCTGTACCTGAGTTAGTCGTATCTCAGGAATCGACTTGCAGGTCACCATGGCCTAAGGCCCCTCTTCTGAGATTCAGAGGAAAGGCCCAGAGGAGCCCAGCTCAGACTCAGAAGCAGGCAAGGCCAGAGAAGGGCTAGGGCTGGATGGGAACAGGGCCTATGCCCTGGTCCTGGCACCACTGAAAACCTCCTGGACCTCACTCAGCTCACATCTCCTTTGACAATGCAAGGACAAGCCTTGTGCTCCCTGACAGTGCTGTGTGGAAGCTTAAACTGATCAAACAAAAAGTGGTGTCATTACACCTTCTCAGCCTCTGCTTTGAGTCCACCGGGCAAAGGTACAATTTTCTAAACCACTAAAAATGTTGCCAACCTGGAAGGCCCTTAGGAATCCACCTAGTCCCTCCTCACTTCCCTAAGCGCTCCAGGAGCCAAGTCCCATGCTCGGAGGCTCCCAGCCAGAATGGAGGATGCTGTGGTGCAGTGGTTCCTATCCAGGGATTTTCAGGGTTTTGCCCACCTTCCCTTTCAGTCCTCCAGTAACGCATCCCTGTTCAGGAACTCTCCAGCTCATCAAAGCCTTTCACTTACATGACCTTGACCTCTGAAAATGAAGCGCTGGACTCCACAGACCTGGATGTGAGGCTGGGCCGTGAGGAAAAACTACAGACCATACAGTCAAACCAGCCTGGGCCACAGTGCCCCCTAATCTCAGGCTAGTTCATTTCTCTTAACCTCGTTTCCTCAACTGTAAAAGGGAACTAACCTCCAGGTGCTGCTAGGCTTTAATGAGCCAACAGATAACAAGGATTTATTTTGACATTCGAACCCCTCACTAAACACCATCAACACATACCAGGATTAAGGCAAGCAACCTGACCTGTGTCTTCAGTGGTCCCTCTAAACAGGTGTGCAGGGTGGAAGGTGGATGACGGGCAAGGGACATACAGTCTCCCAGCTCCTTTCTTCCTTTTTAAAGAATTGTTTTATTGGGACCAGCAGTTAGCGTAATGGCTATGTCGCTGGACTCCCACGTAGTTGACTGCGGTTCGCGTCCCGGACCCGGTGGCTTAAACTCACGCCGGGCACATGTGCGTGAGTGCCCAAGATCCAGAGAGGGGAATGGAGGAGAAGGGATTGCGGGGTGACCATCCCCCCTCGGGGGGTGATTTCTAGCTTTCTATCTCTCTGTCTCTGTCTGTCTGGGGAGCACACGCACCCTATAGCAAAAACCTCTCCGGAAAAAAAAAAAAAGAATTGTTTTATTTAACTTTATTTATTTTAATTTGTCCAGGGAGGGACAGAGTGAAAGAGAGAGAAAGGGGAAGCGAGAAAGAAAGCCACCAGGTCCAGGACACCAACTGCAGGTGATCGTGTGGGAGTCCAGCACGCCTAGACACCAGGCCACTTCCCGACCCCTCTTGGACTCCTTTCCGTGCCGGACATTGGTGATGTCCCTACCCTGATCTCAGGCCCAGCAAGGCCATTCTCCCCAAGGTACTGGGCTATGGCAGTGATGCCCATAGAGGCTCCTCTGAACAACCCTGCCGGCCCAAAGTGCCCCTTTGCGCCCTCACGGGCCACCCCTACCTCCAGGTCCGCGGTGGCTTGGCTCAGGGACATGTGAGAGCAGGCCTTGTGCTCCACCAGGCAGATATGGCAGATGCACTCCCCGTGATCCGTGCAGAAAAACTCCCGCAGGCGGTTGTGCTGCGGACATTTGCGGCTCTGCAGGTTGCTAACAGGGGGCTGCAGCGGGTGGTCCCGGAAAGCCGGGATGTCGAGGTGCGGCTGGGGGTGCTCCTGGCAGAAGGAGGCCATGCACATGAGGCAGGTCATCGCGGCGGCCTCCTTCAGGCAGAGGTCGCAGGCTCCCTGTGCGTCCTGGCTGGGGGCCGCGGCGCGGGTGGGCGGCGTCCAGCCGTCCGGGGGCGCGGCGCGGGCCAGCTCTGCCTGCAGGAACTGATCCACCACGGCGCACAGCACCGTGTTCTTGCGTAGCTGCGGCCGCGCGGGGTAGACGGCGCGACATTGCGGGCACCGGTACGGCGAGCCCTGGACGGCCCACGTCTCGTTCAGGCACGACCCGCAGAAGTTGTGACCGCACGGGGTAGTGACCGGTTCCTTGAACGGTTCCAGGCAGATGGAGCATGACAGCTCCTCAGCCAGGTGGCCCAGCTCCGCCATGGCGCTCCCGGAGGGACCGGACGGGATATGGTGGAAACGCAGATGCGACTGCAGCTCCGATGCCCCTAAAGTGCCTGAGAAACGAAACTGAACGGGGGAGAGGCGGTCCCCCGGACTTTCAGGAAGTCACGTGGGAGGCGGGGGCCGGCGGCCAGGGCGGGGCGCTGGGCGCTGGGCGCGGTGCGCAGGTTCCGCTCCGGGAACCCGAGGTCGGCGCCCTAGCAGTCGCCCAGGAGCTGCCGCGCGCTCTGGGGTGACGACCTTCGGAGCCCCAGCGGCTCCCGCGGGGTGAGCGCTGGGTTTCATACTAAACGCGGGAATTCAGGGGAACCTCCCGACCACCACCAGGATGGCCACGCTGCGGGTTGCAAAACTGACGTGTGGGGTGGAGTCCCTGACCCTTGGAGTCAGCTGCGGGACAGTCCTACTTCCGCACAAACTTGCGCCTGCTGCAAGTCCCCTCTTCTCAGGAACTCATCCGAGACCAGAAATGTCCCTCCCACCCTTTAGAGCTCGGCTGGTTTTACTGTCCCGGCAGGCCTTCTAAGAAATAACTGTGATGGGGCTGGCTGGTGGCGTGGTGGTTAAGGGCTCTGGGCTCCCTTAGATGACCGCGGCTCGAGTCCAGACCTGGCAGCGTGTCTTCTCACTTACCCCCTCTCTCTCTCTGTCCCTCTCTAGTCAAATTAAATAATAATAATAATAATTCTTTTTTTAAAAAAAAGGAACTGTAGGAACAGTTAAAGGACATTGCGTTAGGAAAAAGAATTCTCCTTTTCCTCTGTCTGGGACTCTTAACATATAGGGATGCAATTCTTTTTTTTTTTTTGGAGAGGTTTTTGCTATAGGGCGCTGTGCGCTCGCCAGACAGACAGAGAGAGACAGAGAGATAGAAAGCAGGAAATCACCCCCCCCCAGGGGGGATGGCCACTCCGCAATCCCTTCTCCTCCATTCTGCTCTCGGGATCTTGGGCATGCACGCACACACGCCGGCATGAGTTTAAGCCACCGGGTCCGGGACTCGAACCGCGGTCGACTACATGGGAGTCCAGCGACATAGCCATTACGCTAACTGCTGGTCCCTAGGGATGCAATTCTTGAAAGCTGATGGCCATAGTCACACTGCAGACAATTAAAGGACCCATACAGAAACTTGGAGATAGTTTTTCTTTTTCTTTTAAGTTATTTTATTTAACTTTAATTTGACCAGAGAGGGACAGAGCAAGGGGTGGGGGAGCAAGATAGCAAGCCACCAGGTCAGGGACTCAAATTGTGGTCAGCTATGTGGGAATCTAGAACCCTTAACCACCACGCCACCTGCCAGCCTCTGGAGATTTTTTTTTTTTTTGGTAGTTTTGTTTTGTTTGTTTTTGAGAGATTTTTGCTATAGGGCACGCGCTCACCAGAAAGAGACAGACAGAAAGCAAGAAGTCACCCCCTAGGGGGGATAGCCACGGCAGCAATCCTTTCTCCTCCATTCTCCTCTCGGGATCTTGGGCACGAATACACATGCGCCCGCCCTGAGTTTAAGCCACTGGGTCTGGGACTCGAACCGCGGTCAGCTCGAGTCCAATGACATAACCATTATGCTAACTGCTGGTCCCTGGAGATATTTTTTCATTCCACTGATGTAGCATGATATTTTTTAAATTCCATTTTCTATTTTCCTGGGGTTTGGAAATCCCAGTTTAAGAGATTTTCTTTCCTATACAGACACACAATATTGCATTGAAACTTAAATATTTTTCTCAAAATTGTTTACACTTTTTTTTTTTTTTTTTAGTTTTACTAGGGCACATGCACTCACCAGAGAGAGACAGAGAGAGATATCACCCCCCCAGGGGGAACAACCACATCACAATCCCTTCTCTATTCTCTCAGGATTTTGGACATGTGTGCATACAGGCCCAGTGTGATTTTCAAGCAGCCAGTCTGGGACTTGGACCATGAAGTCAGCCATGTGGGATCCAGCCGCTTTAACCACCACACCACCTGGCTGGACCTACACTTTTTAAAAAGTGGCCTACCTTCAGGGAAAGTGGGTAGACTGGAAGTTAGAGGAGAGAGGATGAGGGGATGGCCCAAGGAAAAATAGTGTTTGTAGTGGAGTGAGTTGGACTTTGCTCAGGTGTGCAGCCAAAATGTGGAAAAGGTGAGTATCTTAGATTACAGCCAACAGGAATAGCCACTGTTATAGGGCACCTACTGTGGGATACACGACTCACATATATTAACTCTTTTTTTTTGGAGAGGTTTTTGCTATAGGGCACGTGTGCTTGTCAGACAGACAGACAGAGACAGAGAGACAGAAAGCGAGAAATCACCCCCCCAGGGGGGATGGCCACGCCGCAATCCCTTCTCCTCCATTCTCCTCCCGGGATCTTGGGCACGCACGCACACATGCCCCGCGTGAGTTTAAGCCACCGAGTCTGGGACTCGAACTGCAGTCGACTACATGGGAGTTCACCGACATAGTCATTATGCTAACTGCTAGTCCCAACACATATATTAACTCTTATAATACACATTTTAAAAACAATTATTTACTTAGTTTTGTTATTATTATTTATTTTTTAATTTGATCAGAGAGAGAAACCGGAAAGTGAGAGAGCAAGCCACCAGGTCTAGGACTCAAACCACAGTTGCTCATGTGGAAATCCAGTGCCTTCACCACCACACCACCTGCCCCACATACATTATCTCTTATAACCCATGTAAATCCTGCCACGCTTGGCTTTACTGATGAGGGTCACAACACTTACAGGAAGCAGGACTGGGATTCTAGCTGAGCACTGCTCAGCTCCAGACTGCTAAAGGTTTCCCTGCTTCTTGTCCCGCGTGCTCCTATTTCCCTAGGGCCCTTTAGCCCATTCCTTCTCTTTCATATTTTGTTGTTTGCACAGGAAAGAGGAAGACAGAAAGATGTGAGAAAGAGGAAATCAAGATGATCACGCAGTATCTCACTTAATTCTCACAACAAATCTTTGAGGTCAACAGAATTCTCTCAGGTTACAGCAGAGAAAACTGAGATTCAGAGAAACTGAATCATTTGCTTAAGACAAGATATTGGCATCTGGTCTGATTCCAGAAGCCAAGCTGCTGCTGAGAGAGGAGGGAGCAGTTTCCAGGAAATAAACACTACGAAATCCCCTCTGACCTAGTTGTCTGTGGGTGAGGTGGCCTGGTGACTCATGCCAGAATGCGGAATTCTCTTTCCAGGCTGAGAGGTGGAGAAGGGCTAGTTAGACAATGAAGATAACTAGGGAGCCCGCATTTTGTTTATTTCGTTTATCAAATTCCACACCGTAGATGTTGACAGAGACCTAAGGTGAGTCAAACCGGGTAAATGAACTCCCAGAGCAGCAAAGGAGAATATGGCGAGAGGTCAGTTGCTGCGAGGGTTATGGATTCCTCATCTATGAAACAGGGAGACACTCTAGGCGTTCCCCATTTTATTGTGTTTTGCAGATACTTCGTTTTTTACACATTGAAGGTTATTGCAGCTCCGCATCAGGCGAATCTATGGACGCCATTTTTCCAACAGCACGTGTTCACCTCTTACTGCTGTGTCACATTTTGGTGATAATTGCAATATTCAAACCTTTTCACTATTATTCTGTAATGCCTCTTTATTTTATTTATTTATTTATTTTTAATTTGCCAGAGTGTACATGCAATGTCTGGAGAAAGACACACAGAGAGAGAAGGAAAGTGGCAAAGCATCCCTCATGGGGGATGACCACACCACAATCCCTTCTCCATTTTTCCCTTTTTTCAGAATCTTGGGCACACACACACATATACCCAGGGTGTTTCTCAAGCTGCCAGGTCCAAGACTCGTACCGTGCAGTTAGCCATGTGAGGTCCAGCTCCCTTAACCACCAGGCCGTGGGCTCACCCCCTCTTTTAGGGGGAGTTATGACAACAAAATGAAGCCCACGCAAGGTACACTGATGTCAGAAGAACGGGGCACCATGAATGGTAACCTTTGTGATAGACTTCTGAAGGCCCAGGGACTGGTCCTGGGCTGAAGGTTGTGTCCATCACCCGTAATCTCAGCAGGACAATGAAGCTATATGACCCAGTCCAATGAATGGCTGGCAATTCTAACCAGATTCCCATTCTGTATCTCTAAGTTGGGAAAAGCAGATAGAATAATAAATCTCATTTGTCTACAAATAGAATTTGCCTGTTATTTCCACCAATACCGTCCTTCTGGAATTTAGGGTCAGATTGCCGGTGTGGTTTAGCACACAACACTCTAGTCCTCCACCTCTTATGAGAGACATTAAGTCTTGTTCTTGGGGAACCAGTAGTTAGCGTAACGGCTATGTCGCTGGACTCCCACGTAGTCGATCGCGGTTTACGTCCCGGACCCGGTGCTTAAAACTCATGCCGGGTGCGTGTGCATGTGTGCCCAAGATCCTGAGAGGAGAATGGAGGAGAAGGGATTGCGGCGTGACCATCTTCGAAAGCGAGAAATCACCCCCCCAGGGGGGATGGCCACGCCGCAATCCCTTCTCCTCCATTCTCCTCCCGGGATCTTGGGCACGCACGCACACATGCCCCGCGTGAGTTTAAGCCACCGAGTCTGGGACTCGAACTGCAGTCGACTACATGGGAGTTCACCGACATAGTCATTATGCTAACTGCTAGTCCCAACACATATATTAACTCTTATAATACACATTTTAAAAACAATTATTTACTTAGTTTTGTTATTATTATTTATTTTTTAATTTGATCAGAGAGAGAAACCGGAAAGTGAGAGAGCAAGCCACCAGGTCTAGGACTCAAACCACAGTTGCTCATGTGGAAATCCAGTGCCTTCACCACCACACCACCTGCCCCACATACATTATCTCTTATAACCCATGTAAATCCTGCCACGCTTGGCTTTACTGATGAGGGTCACAACACTTACAGGAAGCAGGACTGGGATTCTAGCTGAGCACTGCTCAGCTCCAGACTGCTAAAGGTTTCCCTGCTTCTTGTCCCGCGTGCTCCTATTTCCCTAGGGCCCTTTAGCCCATTCCTTCTCTTTCATATTTTGTTGTTTGCACAGGAAAGAGGAAGACAGAAAGATGTGA